TTTGCTGTTTTTTTCTCTGGTAAACCCACATATTTATGCAGCTTGATCTGTTTTCCACATGAGAATATTCATGTTTCCCAGGGTCTTGAAGCTTGATCAGGAAATGGCATGTTTTCAGACCAGCTGGTTTGAAACTCCAAATGTTAAGTATGTGGAAATAGTGACACAGGGTGAGACCAAAATCCGTCTCCTCCGTGAACTCGTGGCCCACAGCACATGCTTTGGGACGAGTGTCTGAAGCAGATGAGTCGGCAGCGTGCTGCTGCAGACCGCTCTCCCTGCCTCAAGCTGTTGGGCGCTCAGGGACTTCTCGAGTTGAAGGTGACATAAGCTCTTCTCTGCTGCTGCCTCTGTTGCTCGTTTGGTTAGCTGTATCTGGCTGTATTAAAATACAGAGTATGCAAACGAGCCCAGTTCGATGAGCAGCTGTGTTCAGCCCTCATAAATTATTCTTCTCTGCAATGTCAGTGTTTGTGTCCTCTATAAATTTCGTGAGGTGAATTTTTGCGTATCATCTGCTTTCTACCTAATTAACTAAAAACCAGATTGCTGTGTAACTGCAGTGGAACGTTTTACTGACCAATCCTCAGTTATAGGTATCTGCAGTTTCTCCATTATCAAGCTCGCAGTCTGTTCATTGAGGGAATTAATTGGGTTTTATAGTTATACAGTGACTAAAAGCCAGCGTGTTTGAATTGAACGCTTCGTGAAGGCAAATTGTACTCTGCTGACACTCCTGTCTTGACCATCTAGGCCTGTGTATAATCCTGCTAAAATGTATTGATTAATGAGATTTGTTTTGAATAATTACACAACAGTTTTTCACTTTGTTATTGACTGCATTATATCACTGTTTCTGTGAATTTGCCTGGTTTGTACCTTATGACAAATATTTGCATGTTCTTTGTTTAAACAGGAACATTATGGTTATTCTGGAACTTGCACAGCTCTGAGATGAGTTAAAGGTTAACAGTCCTGGTTCAAATTGCTCCTGAGCACAAAGATCCCCCTTTCTGAAACATAAAACCCACAGTCCTGGCAGCTGCAAGTTCATATCCTCTCTAATGGCTAATGGAAAAGAGAATAATTAGTTATCAGCGTTTTTTTCCTAAATGCAGATCAAAATATTTATTGAACACTTTTTCTACATCATTAAAGAAAGTCATACCCGTATAAGCTAGTGGCAGATTTATACTATTTCAAGATTGTCTTTTGTTCTTGATGTGTTTAAGGAGTAGCTTTCACTCTTTAATAATTTGCAGAAGTGTTTTTCTTGTCCTTAAACCTGTTGACTGTTACCATCTGTTGGTGCCTTCTGCTCACCATTTGGTGTGTATTTCCTTGCCAATAGCTTGTATTCATGATCTTCCCATCTCGGGGTTCTCTTGGGTTTGCTCCCTACGTCTCTGTAAAGAGGCTGCTGTGAAAGCCACTGTCGTCATAGCTGTAGAGCCGTAGGGCTTAGCTACCCAGTAAGGCATTCCTCTCTTGAACTCACGACTCACGTTTTTGTGGGCTTTTTAATTCCCACTTAGAGTGAGGTGGGATCCAAGTTTTCCTGGTTCTTAAATTAGAAAGGAGATGGAGACTATCCTTAGTATTCTTTAACCAGTGGCTCTGGTGTTGCCTCTTATTCATACATTTTTTAGACTTGGATGTTATTTAGTGGTTCCGTGTGACTGGAACGCATTGAGCACATAGCGTGATGTGAAACTCCAGAACGTCGTCGGCGCTCACAGGTCACTCTGTGGCAGTTTTCTTTGTCTCTGTCTTTCTGGTTCTGAGAAACCTGTGTGGTCTTGCATGGAGCAAAGCGTACATCAGCGTTAGCAACCAGCCCTGACAGCTGCTGAGTTCTCTTTTGCTGAGCAATAAATTGGTGTCACATCAGCTGCCAGAACTAACAGTTTTCGGTCGTGTGCACTGCGTTACGGCGTAACCGCTTAGGCGAGGCTCTGTGGTTCGCTTGCTGCCCAAATGAAGATGTGATTCCACCCAGCAACCAGTTAGACCATTACACAGAATTCTTCAGTTATCCAGCCTCAGCACAGCTGCGTGTAGCTGGTGCAGGCTGTAAGAGGAGTGGGCAGTTCACACTGTGTGTCATATATTGGACAGAGAACTGCGTGTAAATCACAGGAGTATTGCTAAGTGGAGATTAATTAGGACACCACAATTATGAAGAAATTAAATTCATTCTGTCAATAAAAAGTGTAGCTGATGGGCAATCCGTTCCACTCAAGCAGTCTAAAATAAGCATAGTCCTGTAGAGCGTCAAGAATGCAAGGATTCATTCAAATTTAGGAAAACTGTATTCTTCAGAATCAAGGCTCGTTTTTTCTCTCTGAGACCAACGCAAATCAAAGACCTAACTCTTCTAGATTTCTGACTGCTGGGTGGGTTTTGTTTCCTTGTTTGAGAAAACGCTGGGGGCTTGCAGGGTTCAAGCCTCATCACGAAAAATACAGACACAAATATTTTCCCAGATTCAGTGAAGTAATTCAGTAAACTCTCCTGTAAATTGTAAAGCTTCAGAAGAGACACTAATTAAAGTGATATCTGGCAGTTTTTCATTTTCCGATGAAATTATATCAGGTTCCTAGTCAAAGCGAGATACCTACACGTAGATATGAGACCTATAAATAGATAGATATGTACATGTATATATATAATATTTTTAGCAGTTCTGAAATGTTAGCTTCAGGACTGTGTTCTCCTTGGGGTGTTTGGTTATAATCACTTGGCTGATGCAGAAGTGTGGGTATGAGTACAAAGTCTTGCTGTCCACCAGCTGCTGGAGGTGATGCTGCACACCTGAGCCCGAGGCATCGTGCAGTGTATTGCCCAACTCATCCATGGGCTCGGCATGACTATGCCAGTAACATCTTTAACTGCTCCAGTTGCATCCGTAAGAGTGTATCTGCCGTGCATTTTCTTTAGTTGGACCGTTTTGGGTTTTGACCGTATGCGTTTTCCCTTGTCTTTGTGTGGGTTTATCTAAGAGTGTGGACAATGATTGCTTTGGAGAAAGCTGTAGGAATCTAATTCATGACTGTCTGCGATGTCTTGGGTTGCTTTCAGGTGAATGGGAAAGGGAGAGTCTCACTCATTGCTATTATTTGTTACTTTTTCCTGTTCAGATGCAGATGGACAACTGGACATCTAATACTCATGTTCAGAAGCCATGAATTCCAGAAAATTACTCTCAGAAACACGCAGAACATTTCCTGCTACTAAAGTACACTGCCAGCAGCCATCACGGATTCTCATTGTGGATGTCACGTCCCCTTCCTGGACCAACACTTGCTCTGTGCTCTCTGAAGCTCTGGAAAACGCGCTCTGCCTGGCGTGCAGCTTGGCAGGCCCCTGCCGTGTGCCCCTGCTGAGCCTCTACGTGGTGCAGAACCAGCAGGAGTGTCTGCTTCCCTTGACGGTACGTGCGAAGTCGCGTCTCTTGGCATTTAACAAATGTGAAAGCAACACACTGGTGCAGTTCAGTAAAGCAAGTTATGATTTACTACAAATGTATAGCTAAAAGTTAATCATTCTCAAAGAGCATAGTTTCACAAACTTCGTGGAAGAGGTGAATTTTGTGAAGGAATGATGTTTAAAAGGAGAAGTGCCATGTTTTTGATCTGTGAGGTTGCTCACCATTTCTGCCAGTGGTTAATCACTGTCATTGTGAAACTTGCAACTGGTTTCTAATTTGCTTTTATTGGCTTTAGCTTCCAGGGATTCGTTAATATGTTTCCTCTTTCGGCTAGATTGATGAACCTGCTTGTATTTTATACGTTCTCCCTCTAAATACAAGCAGGTCCCTTCTCAATCTTCTAGCTGGTGAATAAAAGAGAACAAAGTATAGCTCTAAGCGCAAGGCATTTTTACAGGTCCGTAATGCCTTCCAGGCCCTTCCATGTATTCACTCTTCTGATGTTTTTTTGGATGCAACATTCCAATACTGGACTCCGCAATGCTACGCAAAGAGCTGAGAAATCCCCCCTCCTGCTGAGTGCGTGACTGGTGATCACCCCCACTCCTTTGCCGTGCTGCTGTGTGTCTCTGGAACTTGTCCAAGACAGCGAAGTTCACGCTGCAAGGTGTGAGCTGGTAGCGCGTACCCGGTGGAGAGGCACAGCCCTTGGGCGAGCCTCGCTCCCCTCCTCACCAGCTTTGTCGGGCGCCCTGCCTGGTGGGCTCTCTCTTGGGTCGCTGTTATTCTGAGGGCTGTTGATCAGAACTGCTCTTTCTCTGTGAGGCACAGTAAAGCATAGGAAGATGACTGTCTTTTTCGGTGGACCTAATTTCACTAATAATGACACCTGGTCCTCTGGAGCTTCTGGAGTCAGGAGCAGGTTTACATCTCTATCTGATAAACATCTGTTCCATTTCAGCCTTCTGCAGAAACAGCAGGGCTCGACTGCTTTTTCGGGACTCCTGATTTTGCCCGTTTGTCTCAACACAGCTTGCTGGTTATCACATTGTCTTTCTGATCTCTAGCTAGAGAAGAACTTGATACTTCTCAGTGAGAAACCAAGACAGAGCTGTATTAAAGGTTGCTTATTGGACGAACCATATGAAGTCAGGAAAGCCCCAGAGCTGAAAATAGAGATTGGGAGAGTACATGGGGAAGTGTCACATACGGTTACGCTTTTCTTAGTCTTCCCTGGGCACTTGTTTATGGTCTCTGTTCCTGCTGGTCTCCCCCGCTGGCCTAGCTCTAAATCCAAAGAGTTTCCCTGGAACAGGCAAGGGGATGCCAAAGAAAAGGAAACCCAGAGAAAGTAAATAACCATGAAGGACAACAGATGATGGCAAGAGGGGAAGTGAGCGTTAAAGTGTCAAAAAATTTTAATGTGGGACTGAGTAAGGACTCTGAGCAGAGCACCTCCGACTGATGGGCCTTGTTCCTATTGGCTTTCCCTTGAGATGGGCAGCCATCCCCCACACCTCCCAGACCCTCCCTGAGAAAAAGGGCTGAGAAAGAAACAGAGGAGTAAGATGTTAACTACAGGGACTGGCAAATTAGGAAAGTGAAGTGGGTGAGGGTACAGCATGTGGAAGGAGCCAGAGAGGTCAGTGAACGCAGCACCTGCCCTTGCTCATGGCCAGCCTCAGTCTGTTGTTTTGGTAGCTCTTCTCTGGAAGCAATGTAGTCTTGCAGATCAAAATGTTTTGCTGGACACACAGTGTGAAGTTATGAATTCTTGGAATTGTGTAATGAAGGAGCAGGGTCACATGTGAAGAAACGTGTCAAAGCCTGTGGCACTGGGCTGGGTGTCAGCACCCAGAAGAGGGGTGCAGTCAGAATTAGTTAAATGACACAATTTGTACTTAGATGCTTAATTTATGTCCCAAGCACATTCCAGAGTTGAAACTGCAGCTTTGTGTAGACTCCCCTAAGTTAACGTTTAAAGTAGCTGTGCGTATACAAAAGAAAATGCAGCTCTGCTGGTGCCAGTTCCAGACGATAGGTGCTTAACTGGACTCCAGGCTGCCCTGCAGCTCGCCGAGCCCTGTTCTGCCACGGGTGGGAGCAGGGCTTGCCCTGAGCCAGCTGGCTTGCATCCCTGAGAGCTGCAGCTGCCTCCCGGGGCGCAGGGCAGGCGTCTGAGCTGCAGGGAGTTTTGCTGCAGCGCTTTGAAGAGGCTCCTGGCCGCGTCTGCTTGGTGCGTTTATTGAAGCCAGACACGTCTCGCACTGTAGAGTACAAAGCGTGGTGTCTTATTCTTAAGACTGCCTTCTTCACCGTTCTGAGGCGAAGTTTGAGCCGTCTCAGCTTTATTCTCCACCTTATTTGCAGAACCATCGGAGCGGTTTGCGAACACATGCCTGAGCTCCCTGGTTCATAACTTGGTCACACTGAAAGACCGTGGTGTAAACCATGGCTGCTCAGGAGTGGTTCAGCTTTGCTCCAAACATCTGAAGCAAGCAAGTTGTATGCTCATCTGTTGCTTCTTCAGTGAGGAAGGTGACCTTGGCAGCAGCGTCTTACATTCCTTCAAACAGGTTTGCTAGAGTTCACTAATAATCTCTCCTATGGCCAGAACTTGCCAGTTCAGCTCCTGGGTATGTCTCAACTCCTTTGAGTTCTTGCTGAAGCTCAGGTGAGCTGACATCTGCGTGAACACTAGCTGAGATGCTCCACACACCTTTGGATGCTGGGTGCTCCCTAGCATTGCCGTGTCTATGCTAAGGAAAGGTCATGGCTGGGCAAGAGATACCAGGTAGCCCAACTAACGTTGTGTGGAGAAAGAATATGACCTGGCCAGCCTGGTTTGTTTTCAGACTGCCTTCTGTGGATTTAGGTGACCATTATGAAGAGACACCAAGTTCAAGGAAGTGCTGAGCAACATGTGTGATATAAGGTTTCAGCAGCCCTGGACTGCGGGTAATCTACATCACCATAGCAGGCAGTCAGAATGTGGCCCAGTGTCCTCCAATCCATGAGACGGACACAAAGCATCATAGTGGAGCACAATCGGTTAATAATCCGTGTATTTATAGTGTTCGTCTTGCTGTAATGCGTCAGACCAGCTGTCCTCAGGGCAGCCATTGTGCAGTGGTAGCTGTTGCCTGAAGCAATAAAACATTTTCACAAATGACAGCTACAGAATGATTTTTCCTTTCTAACACTTGCTCTGGTAGCTCATCTTTGAAGCGGGAGGGTCCACAGACTTTCCATCAGCGTTTGCTTTTTTGATAATCATTACTGTGGTGAATGTCCTAGAAGGAGCAGTGTAAAAGCATAAGAAATGCCCTTCTGAGTCAGACCACCAGTCTCAAAAGGAAAGGATGCTTTGGGGAGGTGCTCCAGCCAAGTCACCTTCTGCAGTTCATTCTCCTCACATTGCCTTAGTTCCACAGCTGTTGTATTAAGAATGAGAGAGGATATATCTGAGGCTGTTCCTCTTGGTATCTGCTCCTGGATCTGTTACCCATGAGTTTGTGGAACCCCTTTTTGAACCTGTTGCCACAGTCTGACTCCAAACCTGAGCGCAGGTTCCAGCGGTCCACAGCTCAGCGAGTACAGGAGTAGGGATGTGGTAGGGGTGACTGTGGCCTGGAGATATCACACCACCTCAGTGCTCCTCTTGATGTCTCAAGTTCTGCCTCTGTGTTAGCAGGGCGAGAGGAGAGGGGCGTGCCGAACTGCTGCGTTTTGGCTAGCAGCAGGCAACAGGTAGAGTGCTGAAAACGTGGGGGGTGATCGTGTCTGTTGTTATTAGCGTAACAGTCAGCTGGTTTTGATTCACATCACTCTTCACTGCTTTACGACTTGCCTCCTGCCCCCAGTCTTAGCTCAGTGGTGTAAATTCATAAGCCTCCTTCCACATTGTGAAAAAATATTTCATATTAGCAGTTTGACATTTCCAGTCTTTTAATTTCATTGAATACTGTTTTGCAGCAAGTGAAAGAAAACTTTGCACGGATTCAAGCCTGCATTTCAGAGCTCCGTTCACTGCCAAGAGAAGGCTGTTTTCCACAGGGGGGAAATGGAGTGGTACAAGCTGTGCAGGATGGATTGCAACAGTTCAAACAATACAGCAGACACGCCGCAGCAGGAGGCTCGACAAACAGTTCTGTTGAGGTAAGAAAGTGTTGGGAAGGCAGTGGGAGCCATCCAGCAGAGTTGCCACTTGTTAGCACGTGAAGATGAGAGTCTGTGTGGTGTGTAACGTCCACGGGAGGGGGAGAGTAATTAAGAAAATCAGCCCTGCAGAAAACCTCACGTGGCAATCTCCAAATGCTCGTGGAAACAAGATCGATTCAGGTTTGAGTTGCTTGTGGAGTCTGACGGACTTTACAGTATAGAAAAACGGATTTAATTTCCAGGCATTTAAGACTGGATGTTTCTTTAGGCTTATTTTGATTGCTTTCACAGAAGAACTGTGTCAAAGGCAAAGACATTCGCAGTGCTTACGGACACGATTTTCCTGCCAGCCTACAGTTACATGCTGTGGTTACAGTGCCTGGAACTCTCACCGATACAGCACGGTGTTTGTCCAGAGGTCCTTGTGTCTGAAAGCATGTCCACGATTCACTGAAAGTGAACTCCTACAGACAAAAGAAATGCATTTCATCTTGAGAGTAGTTGGAATGGTTGCAAAGGACAGGAAAAGCCTACGGAATGGTCATTGTCTTGGCACAGTCCTCTTCAAATCAGTTTTCAGAGTAGAAAGAAAATGCGGTCACAATCTGGAATAACAAGAGGGTTTGTTTATAATTAGCATTTTTCTTCTCTCACTGGCAGCTTGGGAGTTCCACATGGCTCCTGCTCTGCAAAGGGTAGTAGGGGTCCCTTAGAGTACGTCGTTGGCAATGGCTGTATGAAATATCTGGGCAGTGTGAAACGACCAGTGTAAGCTCTGTGCAAGGACAGCCCCTGCAGCTTAGGAAGAAGCATGTCTGTTCTTGGCATGCATCCCTACCCTGGGTGAGTGGAAAAAGGGTGATCTCTGACACCTTTATGGCCGACACAGAAGGAACGGGGCAATCCATTTGCTTTGCCCATGTCCCAGAGAATTGGGGAAGAACTGTGCCTGCTGTAACCCTGATGCACTAGTACTTCATCCCCACTCCTTGCACTTTACAAGGCCCTGAATAAGGTGCAGCTGCTAATGCATAAAGAGCACTTTCTCTCTCACTTCCCACTCCATGAATCATGCTTTAGAAATGTATATCTCCCATGTTCCACCTACATTCACATAGTTTAGGAAATTTCATAAAAGATAGCCTAAAAGAAAGTTCCACACCTAAATAAGTATTCCTGCATCATGAAAGGTATTTCTGTTCATCCCACATCTAGGCTATGTGTTACTCTATATGCCATGCCACAGCAGTTATCATAGAATCATAGAATGGTTTGGGTTGGAAGGGACCTCAAAGATCATCTAGTTCC